CATCTTCGCCCGTTGTCGGCTTGCGACTCCGATGACGATGACGGTTGCTGCCGAACATCTGCTGAAGTACCCAGGCGAGCCGAACCTACACCACGAATCCCGGGTGAGTACGCTGTTGGGCATTTCCAAGCTGAAGAAAGGCAGTACCCCTCCTTTGGCCAACTGCTCCTCCATCAAGGGGTTCCGCGTAAGAAAGTAATTGCGGTCCAGCACGTCCCCATCTGCAATCCATCGGCGGTACTCATCATGGTACCTATCGTCTCCACTGAAACACGAGGTGGGTAATGGACACCCACGCTGCAGTGCAGGCCACTGCTAGACTCTCTTCAGCCATCGTCTTGGTGCATTCTTGAAGACCATTCTGTCGACATGGTGCCAGCCACTCCTCACGGTGCTTGGCATACTCCCCACCCTTGGACAGCTTTGTCCACAGGTGCTCGAAGAGCTCATGCCTGATCAGCAGATACGGGATCTTATGCTGCACTGGTGAGTACGATCAACCTCAGTCGACTAACTAGTGATATTAGCAACTATCGCAGATATTCTCGTGGATAATCGCTGTTATTCTGCCCATTAATACCATCTCTCCTCGAATTTATGTCTATACGGAGGATGCGGCGGTATCTTCCTGTGCTCTCTACGACGTTGAACGCGTAGCTCGAACTCGTCTCTAATTGTGAAAAAGATCCTCATCACTATCAACTCGGAATCCTTCCGCCCTACTGTAATATCAAACCACTATCCCACACCTGATGAAGCTTACTCGATACCTTGTGACGGGGACCAGGAGGTGCAAAGTCGGTGGTAACCTTAACTCGACTACATGCAGTCGTGTAGTCGCCGGTGAACTTACGTGAATATTGTTTCCACCGCGATCACCCCCGAAACCCACATGCAAGGGCTGATGGATGTCCCCGAGAAAATGTATCACCAATTTCATGGCGAACTCGCGTTCCGCCCGAGAGACGCTTTTCGACTGAATACAAAATAGCGCCAAGATTAAAGTCAGCCAGAGCTTCATCGAGATCAAGTGAGAGAAGACGTCAACCTTCGTTTATCACTAGCTCTTGAATGTCATTCAGAACAAGTCCGATTTAGTCTCGATTCAGGAAACACTGAGTTACCGTACAATGCGATTAGCACTCTACTGTATAGTAATTCAGTAAAGGTACCCGAGTCCGAGGCCGAACACACTGTATCCATACCGAGGTAACCTCATCTCCTCCTCTTACAATAGCTCTATTAGTGTAATTATAAATGGCCCCAATAACACAGAAGTCACCACGGCAGTCACGTTCATAGACCATCTGGCACTGCTTGGTAGGAGTATCGACGAAGTGAAGGGGAGCTGTCCATCGATACCTTCGCAATAAGCGTTACTCATAAGCAGCAGCTGAACCAATCCGTATTACTGAGCACTATGAGAGGCCTTGTCAGCCCAACAGGCGACGCCTATCATATCCTGTCCTCTACCAAGTGTTTCGTTCACCCCCTCAACTGATAAGGACATCATCGACATCTTCCATGGGAAATGAGATTAAATGTCACGTGAGGGCGTCCTCAGCAAGCCTCCGCAGCGAGACCGTATACAAAATACATTCACGAGCCCCCGGAACTATAATGCTTTCAACACCAACTTGGTGTGTGTCCGGTGAACCCCCTATTACTGACTCTATCAGATACTATCCGCTGAGCAATTGCCGCTACGATGGAGTGACCATCCTCTCCCCAAGCATGAGCATATCCCAACAGAACGAGGGCCTTCAACAGGAAGGTACCGAGTCGGGGAGACATTATTCAAAAATACTCAGCTGAACACAAAAGAAATAGTTCCGCACTACCACCCTGGCCCGATGGATACGACTAGAGCCCGACAGGGTAAAGTAAAAACAATGGTGAACCATGATGGCATCAGTTTTCATCATCACTGTCTTCAGTGCTATCCTCACCCAGCATAATGGACAGCAAGCCGAGCTGCTCAGCTACCAGGAGGCACAGATGATAGGCCACTGCAAGACCGGCTCACTTGAGGGTGCCAGCTGGTAGAGGCCGTGTTGCTGCTGCTGCCGACGACCCTCGAGCCGCTTCTGAGCTCTACTGCAGCACAGTAGAGCCCCACAAAAGCCCGACAACAACAGCGGTATCGCAGTAGCCAGCGATAGAGTACTGCACACGAGGAGGAGTCTCCTACTCTACAGCGCCTCTTACGCGTTCGCATTAGCCTGCCCTTGGAGATCCTCCATGATGCCCTTCACACAAGGCTCTAGCGGCTTATCCCCGACCCCATCTCGAAGCCCTCCCTAGTAAACGAATACAACTCTGTCAACGCATCACTCCTACACCTCCCTTGCCTGCACCCTCCGACCAGCCGAAGAGGGGCGTACCAGGTTCGCAGGCACCTCCACAATGGTAACGCCTCTCAGCCTCCCTCAGCAGTCCACTATATCTGCCCTAGCCCTCCGAGCCGACCTTGGCACTATCCTACTGATGGACCTCCCATGGTATGAGTTGGTCATCTACAGCTCCTGGACATTCCTCCAAGGAGCCTCCAGTAGAGGTATTCCTGTGGCTGCCATAATATCCATAACAAGCGCCGCTATGAAGAGCCTTTCTACTTCGCCATGCAGTTGCTCAAGGCTTGACTCATACTCTCGTACTCGCTCATGAGTATCAACATCCGCTCGGATCCATAGAGGGCTCCTGAGAAGTCCCAGAAGAGATGAGCCTTGTTATGTCGGAGCTACCAGTATCCCGATGACGACCACATACAGTGGCAAACTTATCAGCATCGGTACGACTGACATCCGCTAGGACCTGAAGCCGTAGTGGTTCACATTGAGTAAGATTCAGTGCTCCCACGCATGACAAAGCGAGTAGGCTCCCTCCTAGTAGCACCGATAAGAGGACATACCTACGACCCTACACTCAAACAGAGACAACCCTGGCTTTACCCTGATAAGAGGTACCGCTTCCGGCTGTATGCTGACATCACACCAACGACGCCCGCGAGCAGACAACCGCAGCCAAGACCTCAACAAAACAATAGGTAGCCGCATTCAGCGATTTGCTTACCTATCATTGCCTTCCCATACCCAACCTCGAGGGCAGAAAAGATCCCGTCATCGTTCATTCGTTTTCCTCTATAAACACCTATCGGACCGCGTTAATTACTTCGCTGACGCCAACCACACATTCGCGATAAGAACCTTCCCACTTTGATTTATCGAGCTCTAGGTGATACGATAGATTTCCTATTCGGACATGCCGAAGTTGCAGTGGAGCAGCCACCCAACTGGAATTGATCAGCGACCCTTACCTCCCTACATGCGATCCCAGATATGACGAAGATGAGTGAGCTTATACCCACAAAGGCTGCACGCATGCACACGGGCTGACACTCAACAAGAACCAAGCCGTACAACCGCTTGCTCCGCTTTCATGAACTGCAAACGCAAACCCGAACAGTCTAACTGACGACGTCAACAATCCATGAAAGACCAACGGACCCATCAAGAACAGCAAGCCCATCTCTCCGAACCCGTCAAATAACGTTGCTCTCACCAAATCGTTCGTACGCACAGCGACGTTTCGCGCCTACGGTGCCGATGGTGCAGGTGTTACCAATAAGCTTTGGAGTAATACTTGATATCGACGACGCGATAGGGACAGCTTGCCACCATCAGTTCGCGAAAACTACTTGAACCCTACCTCCCTGGGATCGGCACCCACTTGAGCGTCTATGCCGATCCAGACACGAGAGACAATACTGAACAGCCTTACCTCACACATCATCGCCTCGACCAAGCCGAAGAGCTCATCGATATCGTCAGACCATAAAGAAACATTCTGGCATCTGTAGACAGCTTCGCCCCAGTGTGTATACGATAGATGGCGTATTTGTGGAGGATGGCAAGATCATTTACGAAGGTTTGAGCCCCACCAAAGACGATCGCGGGGCCCGGGGTTGCCTTACCGCACTGGGAACAGTGAAAACACGATGGCTGCTAAGGATGAACGCCTCTCCTTCTTTTTTAAGTATTGGAGTATTTCAAGACCTTCTCAAGCTCAAGATGTTATAGAGTAATGCCTGGGGCGAAACTCTGCCAAGAAGCCAAAGGTCGTAGCTACAACTCCCATAAAAGCTCAAGAGCCGCATACCCCCACACCGTGCCCCTCGGTTAATGCGGATCTAGCCGCCTATAGAGTATGACTTCAGCGATGAGTTCACACAATACCAGTCTCGTTCCAATTGAAACACTCGAACAAAAACCAGGAAGTACATCGAAAATTCGCTTGAAAGTCATACGGAAAAGTAGCTGGTGCTATTCACTGTGATAGTCCCAGGAGGTGTCGTCGATGGATAGCCCGATAACCTTTTCGCCATTCACCTGGGCACTTATCACTGATAGCAATAGGGAAATTCCACTAATCCGAAGTTTAAAAATCTGCTAAAAACCCTCTGTAAGGCAGACTCCCATTGAGGAGCCTAGAAGGAGTAATAATACGACTGGAGCGGAGCGTACCATCATGACCACTATCTGAAAAAGTTCGAAAAGACAAAAGAATAATGCACGACATGAGAAGCGACGGAGTCAACCATTTGGCGAAGGGTTGCCACTCCATCAGCAGCTCGTGCACGACGTCAGAAGGACTAGTACGATTAGCTCCTTGCCGCTAGTCTATACCGAGGTGGCGAGGAGAAGCTCAGAAGGCACAGCACTAAAATGACGTCAAACTCAAAGGGAGGTATTAATAGTAACCAAATAAATACGTCATGCCAGCCTCTATACGCCTATTCCTAGCCCCTATACGGAGAACGAGAGGGCAATGTCCGAAAAGCACAGCTGTTGCTACCCTCATCTTGACGAACCGAGAGTAGCGACGATGGATGCAGCCCCTTCAAAGAGGTTCCAAGCTGGGCAATCTGGGCTGATGTATGATCCGCACGGACACAAATTCTCAACATAGTATTCTTCCGCTCCGACGCAGTCAAGCCGGCATTTTCTAGTGGTGACACCAGCACAGGCTGAACGGCAAAACCCTCCCTTCTCAAAAATTGTGCGACACTCTGGGCATCACCAACCTCAATAATCTGCTTGAAGCATTGCGAGTCAGTGAGAACCTTTACCCCAGCGTCGACTAGACGTTGGTGCAGTTGCTCAACATTGGCTTGAAGGGAACGAAGACGCTCATTCCCTTGCAGACGACGCATCGTCTCAGCTGCGAACTTGCAAGAAGCCGGTGGAGAGCTAGAGCTGAAACGATAGCCGCTGCCATGAAGAGTCTGGTGATCAATGCTGGTTTGTTGTCCAGCACAAAATCCCCCCTGTGATCCGAAGGCGTGCTCGAGGGAGCCTACGAGGAGGTCGACGGAAGAACATGGAACCTGATTGAAGTAGCTTGATAACAGTCCTGGCATGAAACCTCTCGGTCCTACTCCGTAGTATTCACAATATCCTCGACCATTCTCACCCACTGTACCGATGCCATAGGTGTCATCAAGCAGCAGATAGGCACCAAATTCGTCTTTAATCTCGACGACCTGAAAAAACACACATATCTCGCTCGCCCAGTAAATAGCTCATCTACGGACCTGTGATAGATCCACGCCATAGTTGCTATCCATAAGGATCCAGAGCCTACCAGCCCTCGCAGCCATCTTCACGTCTTTGCTCTGTGCCTCTACCAGACTAGCCAGCTCATCGATGTCGCCCGACCACCAAGTAATGTTCTTTACACGAGAAAGTTTGAGACCCGTACACATATGAACATTCGCATCCTTATGGACTATAGCGAAGTCGTTGTTAGTAAGGAATGCTTGAATCTGCAGACGTTATACCACATATCAGATTATAAGGGTTAAACCAAGGATGGTGTCATGACTACTCACCACGCTCGAGTCGGACACAGTATGATGACTGTACACAATGGATGCCTCTGTTCCAAGTAACTCACTGATAGCCTTCTCCAAGCCCAAATGCTCAACGGCAGTACCTGCAATACCGTAAATTACTCAAATGAGGTGGATCCTGCCGACCATAGAAGCCTCTCGGGCCGCAGGTACCGAAGCCCTTCTCCCTCACGACGGCCCTCGCAATCTCCATCAGGCTGTCGTCTGGCTTATGCTGGAGTGACAACGGATCGATCGTGGCGAAATCCACCAAAGAGTCGCCGTGCTCATCCTCAGAATGACTCGAGCAACCATCCCGGGAGGTTGAATCAGTAGTAGAGATACCTATCATGAGGACCACCGGTCTACGCTTAGACCCAAACTCAGCGATTTGTTCACTCAAAGGCCCACAAGCTTCAAGACCAGAGAGAGACCAATAACAGATTCCCATCCCCTCCTCACTTTTACTCGACATATTCTCTCCCTCCTCCGCATCCACCCAGCTAGGGACCAGAGGCTCTGGCCTCCAATAGGTCGCCAAGCCAGGCAAAGGATCGCTGACGATTGCTGCCTCGGAGAGGTACTTTCTGTATGCTCTAGATGCTACCTCATCCGTGTTGTTACCGTATTCGATGCCTGAGTCAGACAGAAACATCCAGAGGGAGATGACATCACTAATAGACCTCACCCACTATCCTGGAGACCTCCTTCATAACCTCAAGGGTAGTATCTAGTTGCTCCTTCGTATGGCTAGCACTCACACAGAATCTGGCCCGAGCCAGAGTTACCGGTGTGGCAGGATACCCAACCTGACCAACGACCACCCCTGACCAAGGGCAGTCCCGATTGTCCTCGACGTACCACAACAGTTGCTATATTCCTCTTCAAACACTCTCTTGAGAACTGAGC